ACAGTTCAGTGGGAGACCTGGGTTTTCTCGTTTCTTGGATGCACCAAAATCCCCAAGCAAGCCCACAAACGGATTTTTACATGCACCTGGGCATGCAAGTATCTGGCTACTTTGGATCGAGATCAGGGAGGTCTCTTAGGTGTGTTAGTGCTGGGGGGTGCCCCGGCATCAGCAAGCAAAGATACTTTCTAGCGGAGGACAAGGTAAGAGGCAAAGGCCACTGGGGCGCTACCTAAGTTTGAGGAGTTGGGAGTGGGGGGCGTGAGACAAGGAACACAGCTTCTGCTCTCCGAAATATTTTTCAAATTTTGCTATTCTGGGGCAGTAACCCAGGATCTAGAACATATTAACAGGCTTTCTGCCCTGAGCCACACCCTGGGCCACTTAGATCTTTTAAAACATCGCTTGAACTTGCCCAGCTTGATTCATCTCCATCTTCAACCACCACCACCAGCTGGGGTGGGTGTGGGGGAAGAAAACAAAAACAAACTGGCATTTGGTGGCGCTCGCCTTTAATCCCAGCACTCAGGAGGCAGAGGCAGGTGGATCTCTGTGAGTTCGAGGCTAGCCTGGTCTCCAGAGAAAGTGCCAGGATAGGCTCCAAAGCTACACAGAGAAACCCTGTCTCCAACCCCCCTCCAAAAAAAAAAAAAAAAAAAAAACCAAACAAACCAAACAAACAAACAACAAAAAAAACCCCAAACTTTCCATACCATAAGATGTATACATGTTAGGCGGGCCATTCAATAACCTCTGGTGGCTTGTCAGCAGTCTCGAAACATTGAATCTCTCTTGCCTGTTTGAGGGCTTCACACTCTTCTCCACCCCAGACAACCACGAATGTGTGTTATCTATAAACTACAATGGTGCCCTGGGATTACTGTAGAGTGTTCTCTCCCTTACCCCCATCCCATGATCTGTTGATAGACACCTAGCGTGTGCTGTGCCTAGATCCTCATTGAGCTCCAGAGGCAAGCCTCTGGGAGAATCACTCAGAGACCCACGTGTGCTTGTCGCTGGGGCTAGAGAGGGGTGACTTGGGGGTAGAGGTTGGGTCACCTAAGAGGAATGAGGGTTGAAAAACATCTGGGCAGGCCTGAGTTCCAGATATGGCTAGGGCAGTGGGAGAAGGGACAGGAGAAGGAGAGTGACGTTGTTTAGAAAGCCCCTCTTCAGCACTGGGGTAGGCCATCATAACATGGGTGGCAAACCCTTCTTGAGCACTTGGTGTGTGGCAGGCACTATGATGAGGATCTCAGTGGGTCTTCTGACAATCCCAGTTGGAAAACATTTTCATCTCACAGATGAGAGACTGAAAAGCAGGCTAAATGACTTGTCCAAGGTCACACAGCCATAGCAAGGCAGAGCCAGAATTCAGACTCAGGCTGCTGGCTCAAGAGCCTGGATCCTTGGCTCCCAAGGCTGGATTAAGAAGTCAGCCATGCAGCTGTCTCCCTCAGCCCAGAGCAGCATTGGTCATAAGACTGGAAAGTGGCAGGGAGAGCCAGCCAATGCCTGGAGCCCAACAGCCCACTACCACCTGTTGTCCTACAAATGTCCAGTGATGTGGGACTTACAGCCTTCTTTCTTTCTGAGGGTGATGCTGAGCTCAGAGCATCAAGTCCTGCTGCTGGCTGTGACCTCAAAGCAGCTCCTCCTTGTTCCTGGTGTCAGGTCACTAGAGGCTGGGGAGAGGAGCCTGTATGGGGACTACTGGGAGGCTGGTGGCACTGTGCACTGAGGACAGAGGAGGCAAATGGACATAGTTCTGGTCTGAGACTGGCTACTTACTCTTGGAGCCCTGGGGAGCCCAAGGCCTGGGAGAGACAGCTCCTCAATAGCTGGTCTGTCTGTTGGCCCAAGATGTATGCCTAGGTCCAATGCCACTTACTGAGAAGCCCTCCTGAGTTCTGACCCCTTTCTTGTGCTGGCCTTACACTGGATCTGTCTATGTTCTAATATTGTATGACTCTCCTTAGGGAGAGGTGTCTATGTATCTGATAGGGCACTGTGACAGACTAAAGAAAGGATTCCGTCCAAGTCCAGCTTCATGCACCGGTGAGTTTATTGGTGTCTTAGTATTATATTGCATGACCACAGCAACTCTTACAAAGGAAGCATTTCATTGGTTTCAGAGGTTTAGTCCATTGTCATCATGGCAGGAATGCATAGTGGCATATACACAGACATAGTGCTGGAGAAGTAGCTGAAAGTTCTCTATCCAGATCCGAAGGCCAGAAAAGAGACACTGGGCCTGGCTTGAGCTTTTGAAACCCAAAAGCCCACCCCTAGCAACATACCTCTAAGAAGGCCACACCTACTTCAACAAGGTAATACCTCCTAATCCCTCTCAAGTAGTTCTATGCCTTGATGATCAGCTGTTCAAATCTGTGAGCCTGTGGGGGCCATTCCTATTCAAACCTCCACAGTTGGTGTGGGTGAGCAACCACAGGATCCTGCAGACTCCCAGACAGCTGTGTCACTGCCAGGTCTCACTCCAGCAGAGTGACGACCTTTAGAAAGTTGTACCTGGAGCCACCACCACTCCCACCCCTTCAGGTAACCTACCTCTTGTATACTCTGGCCTCCCAAGATTTTGTGCAGCTGGGTGGCACGAGGATGTAGTGGGTAGACTGCCAGGTGAAGGGGCTGGAGAGATGGCTCAGTGGTTAAAAGCGCTGGCTGCTCCTCCAGAGGACCCAGGTTCAATTCCTAGCAACCACATGGAAGTTCACAACTGTCTGTAACTCCTGTTCCAGGGGATCCAACACCCTCACACAGACATACATGCAGGTAAAACGCTGATGTACATCAAATACAAATAGGTAAATTATTAAAAATAAAAAGGGAATCTCAGCCCTGGGTCCTGTAGCC